CACAAAAATTAACTTATTTTTAGAGCAAACTGCATAGTTCACATTTTGTCATAAACAATTATCATGATTCCAAACAGAAATTTATAAAAAATTAAATGCTTATAATTATATAATTAGAAGGGTTTGAAAGCTATATTATGACACAACCCCTCCTTTACTAATTTTAACCTTCCGAGTTCTCAAAACACGTTTTTCATAATATATATGAAAATTATCATGAATTATGATGAAACACACTGTACAATAACAAATATCTTTTATGCTCAGTGTAATTAATTTAATGTGAAAGCTCTAAGTTTTAAAAATTCTGATAATTGCTTCCAAATGATGCACAGAATATTTAAGTAAACATGACTTTTTGCAAAGCAACCAATGTAGTTTCTTATATACAAGCAAGTTTCAATAATAGTAATATACATGAAAATTATAAGAAAAACATAGTAGTAAAAAAAATAAATGCATATAAACATGTAAATTGGGTAAAACCTCCATATTTAACGCAAGTACTTTCATAATTTCAATACAACATACTTTATACCACATTTATGACAGAAACCTAATTTTCATCATAAATCAATTTATAAATCTTTGATCTGTAAATAATTTCTATCTATAGTAAAACAAATATGGCACAAATTTTTAATGGTTTGGAGAAGTCAACTGAGACAAGGTACTAACTAATGTACCCTCAAGACAGCTTCGAAATTTTTGTTTTGCTTATTAAGCCCAAGCTACACAATACACTATCTGAGCTCTGATATTTACCACCGAGCAACTGTAGGCAACAACTTTAAATACTGAAGAACTTCAAAAGAATAATTATGAAGCATCAAAAACAATTCAACTCTCAAGAAAAAAAAGGCACTTAATACTCACACTTCTCTTAGATAATTACTTCAGTCACTTTGAACTGTACAAGGTCACACAAAAAAGTTTAGAATTATTTCTCATACAGTATGCAAAGACCAGCTACATTTATGTTCAATATACCTTGTTATTTACCAAACTTGACATGTTAGCGTTTGATAGAAGATTTAGTATCCTTTAATATGCCTTCTTCTGCAAAGAAAAAAAGGCATTTAATTAACATCTTTTTTTTCTTTTTAGATAATAATAAGAGACAAAATTCAAATATTAGTGCTATATTTTCAGATGATACTTTTTTGAATAAATAATTGTAGATGTAGTTGGCATTTATGGCAAAGGTAGTAAGGCTATCTTGCACTGTCCCCAATTTTGAACTACTGGCCAGAAGGAAGACAGTCGGTCAGAAGCACCCTACCACCCACACTAAGGGATTGACTTTCACTCTTATAATGCACCCACAACTTAAAGTGGGGTGGAGATTTTTTGGTAACATATGGATTCAATGCCTACTCCAGCATTCTGGGCTTTAACACAAAGCCAATCCACACTCCAAATAAATAAATAAATATATATATATATATAAGTAAATAACAGCTTATTTACAAATATACTGTTATCTACTTTTTTTTTAATTAAATGTATATACACACATTAATAGAATATAACAATTAGGCTTAACAGTCTAAAATACTGTTACTTATAGCTTTGTTAATATGGAAAACAAGTGTCATTCTCTTTTACCTATAAATCCTACTTTAAAAAGGCAGTAGGAAAGGAAGAAGACATCAGAATTTGAATATTAGAAAGGAAAATTCAAGCTCCTGGACAACAATCCATAATATTATCTGTTGAACTTGATAAAAGATTGATTCTTGAGGAAAAATATCAATTTTAACTTATAAGTTACTTGTTTGAGTTCTTAGTTGGAGGAAAAACAAAACATTTAAACAAGCAAAATAAAGGGTTTTCCACATTAAGCATTCTACTATTAATTTCACTATGTTAATTTATACGTTGAGCAAAAGGGTTTGGTTGGATGGTTACCCCACAGGATTCATGAAAGTATGTAAAAACAATAAAATAAAAAAAAGTAAAGGGCTTTGTTGTTAGAATTTCACAAAAATCTACTTCAGGTCTATTTGCATAGCCATCCCTAATTTTGAAGTGATAGACTAGAGGAAAGTCAGCTATTCAACTCTTTACCAACAGGTAGTGGGATTGACCTTCACATTATACACCCCTATGACTAAAATGGTGAGCACTTTGTTTGATGGATTGTGATCCAGCAATCTATAGATTGCAAGTCAAATACCTTAACCACCAGGCCAAGCAGAAGGCAGTTCCAGTTCCAAAAGATGTTGCTGAAGTCATTAGATTAACCTGTCCAGATTTTTACATACTACAGATTCACTAGAGTCCTTACATTCTAGTAACCTGTCAAGACACTACTAAGGAGGAAGAAGATAGAACCTTCATTATGGATTATAGCTGTAGATAAAACATAGATTTTCCCAGACTATTGGTTAACTAGTACAAAATAATGAGAATATTCAATGAAAGGACATAGAGTATTGGATTTAGATACCTACACAGACGTATGGAGAGTGATTCAAACAGAATAAGCTTTAAGAATTCATTCGTTATATGCTGACACGGTGGATTGCTAAATTGAGAAAATTCTGACACAGGATAAGCAAGATTAATTTTACAGGGCATAAAATAATTTTAAAATAAAAAAAGCTATTATACAAACAGAATTGAAACCTAACAGAACCCCAACTCTGCAACCACAATGAAACTATCTATTAAAGAAAAAAAAAGCTCATTCTTTAACTCTTAAATAATGAGATGAAATACTTCATAATTTAGGAGCTACACGTATAAAATATCTAAACTAAAATTATCATTAGGCTTGCCTTCACATTATTGCTGTTTACTGAGCTTAACTATCTGTTAGAATAGCGACATGCAGTACTTTAAACATTCACACTATACAGCTTCCTTATGATATGAATAACTTTATACACATTTCAGACATAACAAGGGAAAACTTCAATGTTGAGTTTACTAAGTTGCTGCTCCAACAGCAGTGAGGATATGCTCATTGTTCAGATCTGAAACTACACGATCGAAACATCTTTCCCAATGTTTGCACAAACTCTGACAATCATCTAGAACAATTTCTAATTTGAAGGTTTAAAACTGACACAAAACTTTTAACTTTTAAATTTTTAACTGACACAAAATCCAAATTGTAGGCATCCCTTTAGAGTAAAAAAATATAAAACCTAGTGCTTCTGATATATTTCATAGTATGTAAATTTTTAAGCATGTCCCACAAAAAAAAAAACACCGCAGTAACAGCTCAAAATTTACTGCATCTTTTTCTGATCTTCAGTATTTGATTAAACTAAGATACTTACTTCGTGACTATTTTTGCACCTAACTATGACTGAATTATCTTTCTATGTTGTCCCTATTTCAGAAAAAATAAATAAATAAGAACTGGTATTTTTAAAGTTAGCATCACACACCACTAATAGTAGTAGATACATCATTTTTCAAACTGTCTTTGAAAATATTCTGCAATACTTTTCTGTTTTCTTATGAGGTACATAAAGATAAAATAAGACAATAAGTCTCAACCATTACTAAGAAAAAAGTATAACCTATTACAAGTTCTTAAAATAAATCTCAGATTACAGCCTTAACATACTGGCAGCAGAATATTACAGCATTAATTTTTAGAACAAAGCAACTGATGTGTAGAGGTGCACAATATAATATAAAGGTGCCAGGAACCATATGAAGTGAAATACGAGGAATTTCTTTATGTAATACCAAAGGCAAATTTCTGGAAAATTCTGTGTCAGTACTCAGTATACTTTTTCATGTGATTTTTATAATTTAACAGCTCAGTAATTATTGTAAAAACTTTAATATAGTACTGTGTTTAATATTTATACTTTAGTAATCAAAACTATGCTAGTACTCAGTAATATATGCAGGCTGAAATCCTCATGTGTACAGTGAAAAAAAAACTGCTATTTTATCCTTCTCATATTTCAAGAAGTGAAAACAGAGATAATAGAAGTACTTTAATCACAATTACTTTTAGAAAAGGAACAGGGCAAGGCCATCAGGAACACTACCTATTTCAAACACACAAACATATATATATAACATAAAAATAACTATTCTCCATTATGAGAACTTCAGTTGCTTTGCTGTTTATATAATAGAAAAATGTATTTCCATATTTCAAAACTCAGGAAAAATAAATGTATAGGTGACATTAAAAATGTAAAAAAAATCGATACAGTCATAAAACAATGAAGGTGAAATAAGCATGGAAAAAGCAGTATCAGTAAATAAACACAAGTAAAGAATTCAGTGTAGAAGGTGTATTATAACCAAGCTAAAGCAACACGAGATCCTTCAGTGCAGAAAAAATTATACAACATTAAATACAGCTATTGATGATTTTTTACTTAAGATGTCCCAATACAGGTTTCCAGTGGTGAAAAAAAGAAGAACTGTTAATTTTGGTGTAAAAATATTCCACAGAAATACTTCAACTGAAGTAAGTCATTTCCACTGAGGTCTTTCATTTATCGCAAGAGTTTGCTCAATGTCTCACATGAAAAACAAAATAAAATGCAGACATATAACATGGCATATAATGCTGTGGCCTGAATAAACTGTACAACGGCTTTTTTTTACTTCATTCCTAACTGTTTAAATGTGTTAAATTAGTTTCTTATTCAGGTGCACCGAGTTTGTTGTATGTTGCTTTTAACAAAATGCTATTAATGCACTCTTTTTGCTAGACATTCATAACAGTCAAAAACATAAACATTAAAAGTTATTCCAATTTTGAAAATTTCACTGAATGATACAATAATGTATGTTGTAATATATTTGGTCTTGAAAAATTGAAATAATATTCTTAATCTATCCTATGGAGTCAATAGTTTTAAATCTTTTAGTAAACAGGTATTTCATAATCATTATTATATGCAGTACAGTTATCATACTAACTTCACTCATTTTCAGTTCCTTTCTCAAGTGACATTTTTGACAAAACAATACAGTTTAGTAATCTCTGAATGCAGAATTCATTAGGCTTTAAAAAGAATAAAAAGAAATTTATTACATAACACCTTTGTACATTATAAAACCATCAGAGAAAGTATTACATTGTTGCAAGAAAACAAGAAAGACTATGTTTACAACTAACAACGTACAAGTTAAATCTTTCTTTGTCCTTATGGCACCTTAAAGTGAACTTAACACTTCTATTTTAGGATATAATTAACTACAAGTAAGTTCTGTTTCTTAGCCAACTGTAAGAACCAAGTATTTTTGGTACAATAAGAGCTTTTTGAACAATGGGTAATCACTAGTTATTATCTGTTAATTTCTCTACCTAAGTAAGAAGGCAACAACCATGAATTCTCTTAGGAGAAATGTAATATTTTTCAGCATACAGTTATTCTAATAACAGCTTGAACCTAGTGAAAATGTTTAATGGGTTGGTAATGCCCAGAGAGTGGCTGTCTTGTCAGCACTGGCAGTCAAGAAAGAAAATTCTTGTGGATGCCAACGACCTTGAATGACTTTATCTGCATGTTCAGCCACAACTACACTTGGAAGAGGTTGAGTCAGATCACCTGAGGGAAAAAAAATATAGATCTTCAATACATAAAAAGACTGTGAAAATGTACAACATTCAGTATTTGGGTTAAGGATGATTTAATAAAAACCATGAACATTTCTACTTTAAAGCTTCACCTCTAATATACTTATGAAATGAAAAGTTAAGCATTTTCTGTAACATAAAAACTGACTCCTCATAAAAACATCATACAAATGTTTTATTAGAATGTTATTTTGATGTTGAATTACAAAACATTCAACCTAAAAAAAAACTTTTTATTGACATTTTTTTTCCAGTTCATTTGTTTTCTTAAAATAACTAAAATTGAAATATTTTCTCAAAATCAATACAAAAAATTTAAAAATTAATTTAATGGAACTCTTAGTAAGATTGGACTATAATAAAAAGCATTTTTATACTTAGTTTTTTTATCTATTTTGATTGCTGACATGATTTTCATATACGGAAGCATTCTTTCAATAATGTGTAATAGTCACACATCCTTTTAAGAAAAACAACTAAACCATACTTCCGAAGAACAGTTGAAAAATAATAACAATATCTGCTTTCGTTTCAACCAGTAATTTCTACTTTTCAACATTAAGTATTGACAAAAATAAACTGTCAACTTAATCAATCCATTTACCACTGAATGTGGTTTACAAAATTAGCATTCCATTGCTATTATGTAGGGATGATATAAATGCCATACCTATTATCTTGTTTAAATTGTTTTGAAGGATTGATATTAGCCATCCATACATTTACTTCCTTTTATGAAAAGCTTTTCCTTTATTTGTTTTATTTAATGCAGTGTTTCAATATACATAGGAAAGTTGTATTTATAACCAAGTGCTAAATAAAATGAAGTTCGAACTGTAATATTTATTATTTATCTATTATTGGCTGGTAGTTCCTGTTTTACTCTGTACTTAAGCTTTTTAACTCTCTACACACAGGCTCGGGCGAATTTTCCGACCACTTAACCACTTTGTACTTGTTATAGTTTCCATACTATAACTTTTAATACAGTATATATGTATATTCACAAAATTTGGCACTTTTAGTAACCATTACAAGTTTTTTGTACTACGAAAAATCTAGATTTTTTAATAAAGGTATTTTTACTGAAGATTTGTTCATGAATATATTCGATTTTTTTCTTTTACTAGTCCGAGTGTAAAGGGATTTTATGTTAAAATTAAAAGTACTTTTCTTTGTTCCAAAAATCTCAAACTTCATTTTGAAACCTCCTAAATACACATAAAACTTTATATTTTATCAGTTATTACCAGTACCTTAACAATTTACTTGATTCTTTAGTCTGTAGGCAAATCATCAGAGTATAATGAAAAGTTGTAAAATCAGAAATAAAATGAATAGCTGTGCCATTTTTTTTTTATTATTATTGGTCATGAAGTTTCAAAGTACTTCTCTTGAGAGTTTTAACTGCTAAACATTTCACATATATTTTACTATCAACAACTAAAGTAGAAACCTGCTGAAAATAAAGCAATAAATTGCTGCTTGTGTCACTAGACTGTTTATGGGACACCGTAATACGATATCCTTGAATGCAAAAAAGCACGCACAAAGAGATAACAACTTGACTCCCTGCTCCAAGAACAGGATGTCTAATGCATTGAATTATATATACTAAAATGTTTTCTTGGAAACTTCAGAGTAATAACACTGCACTTAGAATCAGTGAAAACATTTATGCTGACAACAGGTTGTGGAATTTATCGGCTTATGTACATATCCTACGGTGTTTACAACAAGAATTCTGCAGAGTAACAATACTGCACTTTGAATCTGTCAAAACCTTTATTATGTGGTTTGGTGCTGATACAAAAACCTTGCAATTCTTCGAATATTGGTAATCCTTTTGGAGTGTTTGGAATTTAATGGCATAGGCGTAAAAGATGTTATTTGAGCACATGCTAATAAAATCCTATTTCACTTTTCAGCATACTTATTTGTCAACCAATAAAAACTCAGGTTCCAGTATTATCTATCACACTCATTTAGTTTCGCAAGCCTTTTATGTCTAGTCTTAGAAAACATTTTGACTTTTGAAGCTAAAGTGTAGTTCAGAAGTTCTCTTGCAGTTGTGAAACACCTTGAGTTGTTACTGACTCTTACCTCAAAGTAAGCAATAATCATTTATAATATATATATATATATATA